AAAAGTAAAAACCACTTCGATCCTACTGCTTAGCATGTAAATCAGGTACACGCTCAATAATGTTATTAAATGAATGAAAATCAAGCAACCAGTGGAGGTATGCAGGAGTGAGAAGGATCAATACTGATAAACACCCTTCTGATAAAAACGAAGCTGCTTTGACCCTACCTCCCTCACCCCTTCCAAGTTTCTGGTTCCTCCCTCTCCCATCTCCACAACAGGCCTAAGTTGGCCATGACAATCATCATTTTATACTTTGGTGCCAATACATTCAGGAACCCAGGCTGGAGGAAGCACGTTTCCAGGCAACTTGCTGTCACAGAGGAAAGCCTACAGTAGTTCAGGAAAAAAAAATTATAGGTTTTGAAGTCTAGACAGATCTCAGTTCTGCTATACATTTACTGACTGTGAACCTTGGACAAGTCACCTGAGACCTGGTTTCCTTATCTGTAAAGATGAGGATGAAAATGACTTTGAAACCACAGCACCTGAAGCAAGCTTGCAACTAATGTTAGTCAGCTGGTCATGGTCCATGCAGACCTCACCCCTACACCCCACCTCCTATCAGCCACAGACGGGTTCAGAGCCCAGAGCCTGCCCTAAGACTGAGCACCTGAGAGGGACCTTGTAGAACTTCTACCCTGTTGGCTTTCCAATGTACTGGAGCCCCAAGAAGTGAAAGAGAAAAGAGAAGTAAAAAGCAAGAAAGAGTATCTCAGGGTCAGGCGGGTGGACGAGCAGAGCAGGCTGGACCCGTGGTGGGGTAGCTCGAGACGTTCGTTGGGGAATTGGTTGTTTTTCACTTAGGACATACACGAATGCAAGCAAGATGAGGAATAAACTATACATGGTTCCTGAAAAACTCAACTTGGATGCTTTTCATAAAAATCCTTTTATTATTACTTGAGAATTGAGAACATACAAATTAAATCCATCAGAATGGCATATCAATTATAGCCAACCACCAGAGCACATTATTAGGGATGTTACTAATTTCAAAATGAATTTTGTTTGCATTTTACTTGCACCCTAAACTTCAGAAACTCCGGATTTTCTGTTGCTTGTGTTAAGATGGTATCCTCACATATTTGAGCTCCAAAAAGCATACAAGAGACTTCTTCATTAAAAGTTACATTAACAGTTGAACAAGCACAACTAGGAATCTGGTCTGGAGTGTCTGTCGATGATTTATACTACTGCTGGTCCTGCCTTCCAAGCAGGTGGTACGAATATCCAGCAAAGTTCCAGGGAGAGGTGGGGGGAGGGCTAGAGCTGAGAGTAGTAAGGACAAGCTCATTGAGAAGAAGAATCTCAGAGGAAGGCAGGACCTGCCTAGGGCCCAGCCTTTCTTGGGGATGGGCTGGAGGGAAACACCACTGGCATCTTAATAAGGCGTTCCTCCACTGCAGGTCCGCCTCCACCACATACACACTGAAGGCCAGTAACAACCCCCAATCAATGTAACAACAAAAAGCAAAGCAAAACCCATATGTACATTTCAAAATGCCCTTGGAGATGGGATAAAAGCCACAGCCACTGAGTAGCCCTAAATAAGCAGAAAAAAGACACAACAAGTACAGTGGGTAGAAAGTCAAAGAGAGACAAAGAAGGGGACACAAAATCTGATGAAGCAGCAGCTGAAAAAGGGCATCCTGCAATGACTTTCACTTACCAAGTCAAGTTCCAACTCCTTAGAAAACAAAGTCCTGCCTACCCCAGCTGCCTCCCCAAGGCACCCACCCTCCCTTCCCAGACAACTCCTGGTTTTCCTGACTGGATACGCTGTGTTCAGACTTCTGTGCCTCGGTATGTGCGTTCTCCTCTACCTGGAATGTGTGCACTTCTCAAGGCCAACTCCCAGTCAAACATCAACACCCAGCCGGAAGGTTTGTGAAGCCAGACACAGACAGCCCCATGCCACCCCAGACTTCTGTGCTCCTGCCCAGCCCAACTCCACCCCACTGTCCGGAGCAAGAGCACCAGAAGGCACTGAAGGGCAGGCACGACCGGAGTCCTCGCAGGTAACTGTACTCAATGAATTCTAAGTGAATGACCTTGCACGAAAGGTTTTTAAAAAGGCTAAAAAGCAAATCATGCAAAAAGTAGACAGTAATATTTTGTTATTGAAAGTATGTATTTTCTCAACTCTGACCTTGGTTGAGTGTCACTTAGGAACCAGACAGAGATGCTCTACCACTTCCTAGTTGGGTATCTGTGGGCAAATTAAGTAACCTCGCTGTGTCTCAAATTTCCACTTACTGAAAGGAACAACCTCTACAGTGTGGTTAAGAGGACTAATTAATATATGCTTAAAAAAACAAGTGACAAGTAGTTCTACGAGCTTGCCGTAATCACAGAAACCTTAACAGGACCAGATACTGTACCATCAGGAATGTCATCACAACGAAATTTTGGTTAAAACTATGTTTTTTTAGGAGAGCTGAAAGTCAACAAATCCAATAGCTTGTCGTCCAGCTGCACTGTGCTCGCTACAGTCCTCAGCACCGATCCCTAGTGACCACTATGTCCATGGCTCCTCTGACAATGCGGACTCCCAATTCTCTGCTCTCTGACCACACCTCCTCCTCCTCTTCTGTGGCAGACACCTAAAGTCAGGCATTCCTTCCGCTCAGCTCACACATTTTTTCTCATCTTGTCCACTCTCAAAGCTTCAATTAAGATCTCTATGGAGATGACCCCATGACCCCTCAGTCACACTCAGAAAATATTTCAAGCTGAATTTATCCAAAATAGGTATTTATCTTAGATGATGCAGACAGCATCAACTTCTCCCTTTCATAGCATTTTTTCTTTTCTCCTCCAAGTCTTACACATCTCACCAGTCCTCAGCTTCCTCTTCCTTTGCCCAACTCTTAAAACTACTTGTTTGCTAAGGTTATTTCTTTGGTCTTTCTGTTCTGTCTCACTGGTTCTTAACCTCTCTGGGATAATGAACCCTTTGAAAATCTAACGAATGCTATGGATTGTTTACTAAAAAGATAAACAAGCAGAATATACGCATGCAACTTCACCTAACCAATTATCTCAAATAAGAATCTGTGTTTATCCACACCAGGCTACCACTTACACAAATTTTCATCTTCAGATTCGATGTCCCTCTTATTTTCAGGATGCCTTCTAGATACAGCCTAAAGAGCCAACCAGCATCATAAATTTAACAAGTCCAAACCAGAACTCACTATATCTCCTTAACAAATCTCCTCTGCCTACAGTATTCCTTCTCTAATAACGGCACCACCATGCCCCCACACTAGAAGCCTTATAATTAACAACCTTGCCCATACTTCATGAACATGTCCTGTCTCAATCTCTCCCAAATACAAATCCCACCTCTTCAGCCTCCTACCCTGTAAGACCTCATCATCCTTTGCTTCATCCCATATCTGCCATGATGAAAAGTCCACCACTCCTCTGACAAGAGCCCATTACTGACTCTAACATCTCCATCTTCCACTGCCACTGCATCACTTCACCTCCAGAAGGTCATATAGCCTGATTCCCCACCTCAGTTTTTTTCCTGTCATTTTCACCAGTGTTGATCCAGAGTCTCCCAAAATTTCAAAACTAATCATGTGCCTGTCTGTTTTCAAAAACACTGATGCTTCTCTGTTGCACAAATATAAAATCAAACTCCATTCTGCCTACAGAGTCCTCCACAATTTGCCACCTAAATACTTCTTCAGGATTGGATTCCACAGCTTAGATTGTCACTTGGATCTATTATCTTTCTATCAAAATCACACCCACTCAGAAAGGCTCAATTCAGACTCCACTCTTTATATCCTTTACATACTGATTAGGAAAGGACTTTGCACAGAAAAGGCAAAATTCCTAATGAACAGATTAGAAAATGAAAAAAAAAAGTCTTCCTTAAAATCTTTAAGTCCTTCTGGAAACATTAAGCTTTTAAAAATTTCAGTTATTCAAATATTAATATTTCAATCAAGAAATCTTTCATAAGCCCAGCACTGTTAACAAATATTTACTAAATACTAATAACACACAATGTAGATTAAACTCTTGTATTAAATATCATCAACCCGAAGATAAAAAGCTATAATCCGGACTCAGTTTTCTAATTCCAATAATATTTGTACCTGGCTCTTACTTAAGAAAGGAAAATTACAGTAAGAGAACTTGGCATTTCACCTAATAGAGACTTAAGTCATGGAAGTCGACAGCCATGATAGAAAGTTACCAGATCTAAATCATCTTCAGGGTAGGAAAAATTCTTATCAGATTTGAAAAACAAAAAAAAATAAAAAACACTTTCAACTGAGATATCATAAAACTATAAAGATTTTTTCAGTACACATTTAGGTGTTAATTTTTTCTAAGGGCCCAAGGATGCGATGGGCAATTCCGAGCCTCTCACAATGAGCCTGGTGACTGGCACACTTACCTGCAGGTGCACAGCAATCAGACCTACGCCAGAGAAGCAATGCTGCGGACAGGACCATCTCTCTGTCACATTCTAGGGCTTTATTTCTTTCAGACCTGACCTAATTTAATTTCTCTTGTGGCTCCTAAGCCTCTGAGTTCATGTGAATCTTCACAGCTGTATACTGTGAAGCACTTTGTTCCTGAAGAGAATGAAAATATTCAGGTCTTTTTTTTTCTTTAAAGAATTTTTACTAGTTTTTGTACCTAGGTAGCATTCTTGGTTAAACATTCCCTCTATGCATTTCTAAAATTATGACCTTTCATACTTGAGTATGTTTCTGAAATAAATTTGCTTGTAAGAGTAAAATCCGCTAAAATTCCAAAATTACTAATAACACTAATTAATAAAAGCAGGGAGTAATGAAAAGAGCTCCAGCAACTGAAACAGGATCTCAGTCTACAATCTCACGTCTCACTCTTTAGTTGTATGACCTTAGAAACTGGCTTCACCTTGAAATATTTTCTCATCTGAAAGAGAGATATCACCACCCTTCCTTCCCTGCAGGTGGCTGTTCAGGTAACATGAGATAACGTACCTAGCACAGTACTTGACAGTGTTCATAGTTTGCTTTCTTCATTCAACACAAAAGACATGAAGGTTTAGGTGTAAGGGAATCTACACTTCCACAAGTCTTCATTAGCACAAAATATGACAGGTAGTTGGTTTTAATTAAAAAACAGCACTGTCACCCCCATTCCACAAATGCTTCTGAGGGATCTGGAGCCAGACGAGCGAGCCTGCGTGTGATTCTGCAAGAACTCCATCAGGGCTGCACACATACTGACCCCTGAAACACGAACAGGAAAAGTCCAGTCATTGTGCTAAAACGTCTGGATGCCTTTATGCTAGTACGAGAGCTCACACGGGGTAAAAGGGGAAAAAATCAAATTAAGTCCAACTCCAAATGACTCCTTACTAACGTCAAGAGAGCAAGACTGACTTATCCTTCCTGAAACGCGAACAGTACGACACCAAAATCCACTTAAAAACTTCAAGATTGAAACACTCCACACCAACAAGGGTGCCGCTTCACGCTATTTGGAAAGCCTGCGCAAGAGAGCAGCACAGGCACCAAGGAAGGTGCTAAACCAAAGCTGGCCGCGGAAAACGCAGGCGAGAGGGGCAAACAAGACGATGACTTTGGGGTTGTGCACACAACGCCGGACGAACGGCTTTCCAGACCGCGGCCGCCGTGAGCATCTGAAGTAACTCGCGGCTCCACAGGCGGACGTCAAGGGAAGGCC